AGTTTAGTTGTGGATAGCTTAAGGAAATAGACTATGAAAAGGAGGAAATTTATGGGTCTCATTCGATAACAGCTGGGCTAGAAATGTGTAAAGTAGAATGAGCGGCTAAATAGAGTAAAGAGAGAATAGAGTGCATTGCATCAACCACTCTGGCCTTAATCTCACAGCAATTTTTCATCTTTTTTTTCATTTAAACAATAAAGACCAAAGTGTAGAGTTGCTTTCACATTGTCACTTTTCAAAACAAATAATTTTCTCGTTTCTTTTTTCAAATCGGTCAAAATTATAGGAAGTTTTCGAGAGAAACAAACTTTGCTGATTTTAGTTCGAATTTTATTTCCAGTAAATTGTTGATTTCACTTCCTTAAATATTTTTTTTGAAACTTACTGGTAATTGCTTATTTTATCACACCTTTAATTAGCAATCACTTAAGTGATGCTAACTCTCAAAAGTAATAACTATTGAGTGAGTAATGGGAGGAATATTTCATCAGTTTATTTAACGAGATTAAGAAAGATGACTGACAATAATAAACATTAGCGCCGTGGTGTCGCACACTTTTGTCTATTTTTGAAAGTCTAGATGGTACTAATATAGACAGAAATGAATGTGATATAAGCTTAGTTATATTGGCTTATAAGACCCATGTGCACCACTATGCCAAAAATTATTAGTGCCTTAAAATAGCGCCTGGCTTATGAATAGAGATTCTATATTTAGCTTTAAACAAAACTTCTAATCCTTTCCCTACATCAATTAAAATGGCGAGGGATTCGCTGGTCTGAAGTGATAGCAAACTGATTATGAGATTTTGGATGAAGAATTGTAAACAATAATAATAGCTGAATGAACTGATACTGAAGCACGAGAATGCATAGTGTATTATTGGGAAATTCGACATCATCCGATTCATAACATAAGAAAAACGACAGTTAATGCTTTATATCTGCTGTATTCGCAACATCGGCTAATGAAAGGAAAAAGTTTGTGGACATGAAGATATAAAATATAGTTCAGTATCTCAAATTATACTGATGAAAGGTGAACAAAGGTGAGAGGTGAGGTGACGAGAATATAATATATTGCTAATTGTTTATTTCATGAGGGGACATTGCGTTTCCAAAGATGTTATTGTCATCTGATATCACATGTATAATCCCTGGCTGAATAGATTGACCTGGCATTGTGAGAGCACCAGCGATTCTCATGGGATCTATGGTACGGAACATCCTCACCTGAAGCTAATAGTTCGGAATTCCTGAAGTGCCGTCTAATTTAAAAATGCAATGAAGGATTGTTTGAGCTAGCGTCTCGCGATGTACCTACCAGCCAAGCGCTCCTGCAGATCGATTTCGTTCAACAAATTTCGTTTCGTTGTTTGGCATTCTTTTCTCGTGTATATATGTGTGTGTGTGTGTGTATGTGTGTATATGTGCGTGTGTGTGTGTGTGTGTGTGTGTGTGTGTGTGTGTGTGTGTGTGTGTGTGTGTGTGTGTGTGTGTGTGTGTGTGTGTGTGTGTGTGTGTGTGTGTGTGTGTGTGTATGTATGTATGAGTGCACATGTGTGATTATAGAAAGAGTAATGGCATATTAAACAGCCTTGAAAAAAGCAAAAAGTTTTGAGTACAATTGGAGAGTATTATTTCATAAAAGAAGAGAAGGACCAGTATTTGTGAGATGGAAAAATCATGAAGTAATGTTGACGACCACAACTACTTAGTTGTAGAAGGATATAGTGGCAATGAACTTATTTAATACTTCCAAAACAACTGTTACTATTAGCTTTGAGAGAGAGAGAAAGTAATAGCTAATGCCTTGAGTAAACAAGCCTTGAATAGATATGCTGCACTTGCTGTTGGATTTCAATAGAATTTCAATATGTCTCAAAGATATTTGTATATGAAAAAATTTGAGAAAATAAAAATTGCTATCAAAAGTCACATTAAAATTCATGAATTGGAGTACTTATTGATATTTGAATAAAGAATATGAGATCTGTTTGTGTGGTGGTATATTTCTCTATAAACATTCAGGAAGGCAATCATTTTGCAGTCAAACACAAGAATTCTCTAAAAACGCATTATGTGATTTCAGGCTATGCAAACCAAATGGAGGAAAAAGCAAAATTTAAACTTTGTTCCAAGTTGACATCTCACTCTGAACATCAAATGATTTAGTCTTCATTGTTAACACCAATATATGAATTGCACAATAGAAGCATTCTTAAAATTCCAATTAGCGTCACATTTAACATTAAAATTGAAATAATGGAACAGTGGTTATTTAACTTATCGTTTCCACTATATATATGCTATTTTCGTCGATTATTTCAAAATGTTGTTAAATGTTGGATTAATATATTAAGCTGAGCTCTTTCTCCCTTTTACGCCACGAGACAAGGTAACGATTCAATTCGGTATAATTCGTTAACATGCTTGATGATGAGTAATTTAACAAGAAAAAGAATCTAAACTTTATTAAAATAAAACGATGTTAATTTTTCCTTCATAATATGATCAATATCTATGGTTTATTACTTAGAGTATTCGATGTTGAAAGTATGCTGGAATAGTTATTTGATCTTTATCAATGTATGATCCATCAAACTATTTCTTTATTAAAATGATAAATGAAATGTTGAGGAGAGAGCAAGAGAATTTAAAAGTCAAAATTATGCCACTAGTTGAATTAAGAATTATAGAAATGCACCTGAAGATCTGCTGCCCTTAAATGAATAAGCCACATTATAGTTCAGAACAGATAGAACCAAGAGAAGCAACAAACAGATAAAGGAAGATTGAAACTGCAAAACGACTGATATGAAAAAGTGAAATTTAATACTTTACTAGTCTTGATATTTCAATAGAAACTATAATCGCAACAGTAAGACACACCACTGTTCATTTTTGTTGACAAATAACTTTTTCGAATTTTCTTAAACGAGTTATTAACTAATTACAGATTTTAATTGACCATCAGATTTTTTTATCTCTAAAGGGAATAATGTCAACTTTAAGATTCACAGCTCGTATAGTTTCAGTAATAATTTTTCTTAAAGAATTTGTTCACTGCTTGATGTTATTACTTTTCTTCTGAAACTATACTAATTACTCCTTTTCAATCATTCTAAACAAATTATTACATAAATAGGTAATATGAATTATAATGTCATATCTGTTTTCATAAAAAACTGTCTCGCAAACGAATAATTTGAAATCCTCTACTGATTCCAATTTCTCATATATATTTCACACAAATTAATTTTTTTTCGACTTCTAACAAACATTTTTTTCTTCAGTCTTCGTTTCTATTTATATTTTAATTAGAATTGAAGATTAATATCATAATTAAAACTGGACAAAAAGGTTAGCAACTTCCTAACAAAATTTTTTGCCAGATGAATTGTTTAGAGCATTAAACTAGTTTATAATTAAATTATTAATTTTCCTCTTTAAAGTAATTAATTCTGTTTTAAATTAAGATAGCGTGCACTTAATTAAGATATGCCATCTTTTCTATTTCATGTGGTCGATTATTGTAATAATTCCTCTCAAGAAGGAGAGCCTTTCTTTTAGAGAACTTTAGACATATTCTCAGTAAGTTCTTTTATGACGAGAAAATGGTATGAGTTGACTAAGCATTAGATGAATTCGATAAAGTAATAGGAGGAGGATAAGTCTGAAAGTCGGGCTGCTAGTGATAATATCCGATTATTTGGCTTGTCGGTATTTTTATGTAAATGCATGGAATATTAAATAGTTGATTTAAGGGATGAAAGTTAGTGGAAAGAGTATTTATAAAATGCTCTTCTCCTCATCATTCATGCATGCTGTTTTTGTTCAGCACAGCATGCAACAATGTTGATGCATCTGCAATCAAATTAAGACATTGCTGATATTCTTTCTATTGCTAATGTCACTATTAGGCCTTTACTACTCTTTCTTCCTAATCTTATTAACCTTTGCTGATCGATGTTAGTTCATTTTATTTTTCCCAATTGATTATCATAAATGACTCAATATAGCCTTTCGTTATAATCAGAGCCTCATAAAACTGATTGTTTAGCTCAAGTAACTTAGCATTAGGACACATTTTAATCTTATTCCGTGCCAAAATGTTGTTAAATTAGAGCAATATTATAACAAATAATTTAACCACTAGCAATAAAGCTATCATGTAGTCTAAAATACTGTTTGCAGTAGCAGTTGGATTTGTGCAATAATATTGTACTTAATTATTAATAATCATTAGGCCTTTAATTTAAACCTGAGATAACAATAAAACTCAGTCTTATGATCAAAATAAAAAAAGAGAATTTATCAAATCGAAAAATCTTATTTTCCTAAGTAATAATCATTAGGCCTGATTAATCATTAGGCTTAGCAACCATTTTTTAGATGACGACAGATGCAAAAAAAGATCAGACGCCGGACCTTGCCACTATTTTCAGGTATTTTATTTGTATGATGAATCTCTAAAACTATTTCAAACAATATGCGATTACCGTACCTAAGTTTTTCTACTCTACCTTTCACATTGAAATTGTCGAAGCTTTTAACAAGTACGAATTTATAACTAAATATTTTCAATTGTATTCTACAAATATTAGATGCATCTAGAATTGTTAAGAATTTTTTTTAATAAGAAAATGAAGAGTACAAATAATTTTTTTTTTTTTTCAAATTGTATACTGATTTTCATTTGTTTTTTCAGAATTCAAATGACTAGAGGTAAATCAAATTCCATAATGATTTTCAAACTGAGATAAATTTTGCCCACAATCTTATACTCTTGGAAAACAAAATACTCAAAATTTATTTGATCTAATTAGAAGTAAATTCGGGAGAGTTGCGATTAAGTTTAAATATCCATATAGATCCCCCTGTACGATGACCTCATGTTTAATCAGTACATATATGTATATATATGTCATCACTAAAATATCTTCCAAATGCATTTGACACTTGAATTTTGGGATTTCAGGTAAAATGGCATTGGAATGAGACCAATAAAGAATGCAAAGAGTTTCACTACGGTGGATGTTTGGGCAATCGAAATCGCTTCGATAGCAAACAACAGTGTATGAATCGTTGTGCATATGAAACCCATAGACAAATCTTTATACCAAGCAAGTTCAAATACTTAAATTGTGAGAGATTTCAGGAGCAAACTTTCAATTTTTTGTTGTATCTTTCAGTAACAAGGCCATATTTTGAGTGAACAATACAAACATTCTAAATAATCATAGATTTTTATAAGCTTTTGGAGCCAATTACTATCCCATTTTTATTTCGCCTTTGGGAGAGATTAATTTTGCATCATTCTTAGAGGTATGCTTGTTAGATGTTCATCCGGGATATTGCAATGACGATCGGAAAGGCCACTGGTGGTACTACTTCAATGCAACTGATGGTGATTGTCAGAGATTCTTCTACTATGGATGCGGTGGTAATGATAATCGCTTTTATAGTCACTATCACTGTGAAAAGGTGTGTGGCGAACGTTTAGCGCTCGATACTGGTAAATTTCAATTAATTTTTAAATGTCAAAGCTTTTGAAGTGAAGCGAATCTTATGCTCCAATTTTATCGCACTAAATAATGTTAATGCAACTTATGGTCCAGTTCAGATGGGACATTCCTTGTAACCACTGGTCCTTCTGGCCACTACACGTGTGAATGTCGAGAAGGTTGCTTCTGTTTTGATCATAACTTTGTAGCATGTGATCGCTGTGATGTTCGTACATCGATATGTATTATTCATTCGAAATACAATTACGCATGTGAATGTCGGGAAGGATTTGTCAAAAATGTTGGCGGTGAATGTGTTGGTTAGTTCTCTCCAGCAATTAATAAAACCTAGAAATGCCAGAGAAATGTGCTCTACTTTAAGATATTTACGTCCAAAATTTCATACTGTTTCATATAAGTGTGAACCGATTTCATTCCTTTATATGAATGAGTTCACACAAATGTTTTGAATGCAATTTCTGTGTCATTTTTCCATGATTTATTGCTGTTATGAGATTGAGAGATATATGTAGAGCACCGCTATCACGATTGCAACTCATAATATGCTAAGCTATAGCATTGAGTCAAACAAAGCTACGAATTCTTCTTACAGATTTAGACGAATGCCGTATCGGAAATTCAGTTTGCGATCGGAATGCACAGTGCGTGAATATGGTTGGCTCGTATACATGCAAATGTAATATTGGCTATAACGGAGACGGGAAAAAATGCACTTACGTTGGCATTGGTATGAACAATAATATGAGAAAGTTTGATCTTTTATTTCCCAACAGCAATCACCATAGTACATTTCATTTGGTAATAAAAATCTGATAGAAAAAATGTTTCAGAGGAATTATATTTTGTTATAAAGTCGAATTTAATAGCGAATTAAGATAATTGCTCGTTGCACAATTTTTTTAAGAAATTAATTTATTTCTAGAAATTTAATTAGCATGCAAAAATATTTCATATCACAATTATCTGATAGAAAATAATATTAGGTCGGACAACAACAAATTGTGCAAAGTGCAGTCCAAATGCAATCTGCTCGCAGGGTGTTTGCACTTGCAATATTGGTTTCAAAGGCGATGGACTAAACTGCACAGGTTTTCACTTAAAACTCCATTTGAAAGTATAAAGTTTAAGAAAGACAAATTTACTTGAGTTTTCATAAAAACTACTGTGGTATAGAAGTGAAGCGATTGTAAATGATTAGTAGTATTTATGTTTTACAAGCCATATATAACATACGCTGAATCAGCACTCGTTTAAGTCGAAAAATAGAAAATCACTATCATTAGACGATGAAGAAGATATCTCGACACTATTTTTACCAGTGATAAGCATTATCATCATCTACTTCTGCAGATACTGATGAGTGTTTATCATGGCCTAGGGCATGTCACTATCATGCTAAGTGTCATAATATCAAAGGATCATATCAATGCGAGTGTCGATCTGGCTATGCAGGTAATGGCTACAACTGCACTTCTGCTCCTTGTAGGTTTATTTCCTTTCTTCATATTTTACATCATTTTTCATATTTTATCGTTTTATCTGTCAATAAGCAGTTATTGATAAATTTAGCAAAAAATTGTAGCAGCATGCACGAATTCATTCGACCCTCAGTACAGTAATCAATGCGGCATAGGGAATTGGCGTCCTCATTACTACTACGATTATGAAAAGAATCGCTGCAGATCATTTTGGTATGATGGGTGTCCGGGGAAATCTATGAATATATTCTCGGATGCGAACACTTGCCAAGTGTTGTGTGAAAATTTAACAGATGAAAATTTAAGCAATGAATTTAACAGACGAGGTCAGTTATTGTTTCAGATGAACTTCACCTAACTTATAGGTCTTCTTTATTTTCTGCTTTGACCTTATATGAATGTATTAAAGAACAGATTTTATGCATGTTGAATAGGATGTAAAAGAGATGAAAGGTGGTGGATATAACTATGAATCGATGGATGACTTATGAATTTAATCTATTCATAGGTCGTAAAATTCATAGTAATTCATTTTTTTCTTTCATGTTTCCTCTGCCTTTTTTAATCATATCTCGTATTACCAAATAGAACGATTTAATTTTGCAATATCATTTCATAAAGTAAATACAATGAATAGTTTCCAAAAAAGTCTGTTCTTTAAGATGATTAGCAATATGAATTAAAATTTGTTTCAACCCATCTTTAACTATCGACTAATATTCAGAAAAGTGCTATACGTGTGCGATGGATTAGAGCTTCACAGACTGATATTTGCAAGTTATACGATGATAAAACACATTTTATATTTCATAGACACTTCAAATCAAAATATCTCACCTTTATAAGAGTTTAGAACTTCACTAAAATGACAGAAATTATTTCAAATTTATCTACATCTAAAAAAAAAAAAGGTTTTAGATTTTATTCTGATTCTTTTTTCTATAATACATTATTTGGAAAGTCCTACGATAAAACAACAAATTGAAAAAGAGCTTATAAACTAAATGATTCCGTAATTTTAAGGTCTAATAATAGCACTTTTCCCATTTTGAACTTAAATGTTGCCTGAAGAAAGAGCAGGTGATAGTAGGGAACATAAAATTTGTGTTGAGTAAAAATGATAAATTGAATTATCGGAACAATTAGTATTTGGTGCTTTCCAAGTAGGAGAGTTATGTGAATTTATACTTCTTTTATTTAGTCGTTGTTGTCATTACCATCGTTCGGGTAGTTTTAATACATAATTCAGGGATTTGTTGGGATGTTCTCGACACTGACCATCTCAACCGTTGCAGAAATGGTATGTATTTCAGTCTAAATTGATCCGTAATTCATTGATCAACAAAATCTGATTTCGATTTTAGTGATAGAAAATCATATAGTTAGCTCAGCCAGCCTAGACAATAAATTCGAGTTCTTATTGATTAACATTTCTTTGTAACTATTTTAATCTTGAAACATGAGTGCTTCAACATTCCCCAACCAAAAAAAAGAAAGGAAAAAACGAAGAAAAATACTCAAGTTCGGAAAGTTTAAAGAAGCGGTGTATAATAATTGATTACTCAAAAAAAGTTGCTCTCTAGTTTTAAGATGAATCAATGATTTCCGGAGATTTCAATTTAGGTTTTCTTCCATCTACTGTTTTTAAGCATTACAAAAAGCTTCAGATTAAACTGAATTTAAATTCATTAAATCTGGACTGGTTTATTTATGTAAAAATTATGTAATTTGATTACACATATTAGTTATTAGATTTACCTGTTAAATTCAATTTTTAAAGTCTGCCATTCTCTTGTGTGGTTCACTGCAACCATCTAACAAATAATTCTCATTCAGAGCAGAATTTAAAACACAATAAAATATGGAATAAGACTAGGATGTTAAATCAAAAAAAACATAATTGATTAGTGTCTATCAAATTAACCACAAATCATCAGGATCAGAGATTTAAACTGGGATCAGTTTAAAGCAACTGAATATGACTATTTCAAGGCACCTGGGAACAGCGCTTCTATTTTAATAAATATACGAAAAAATGCGAAATGTTTTGGTACGGTGGATGCAGTTCGCACTCCCTCAACATGTTCAAAGATTTACGCTTCTGTCAAGGAATTTGTGAACATTTGCGACTCTACATGCCTGGTTAAGCCAAATCATAAATGTTTTGAAGTCTATCAAGCATACATGCAAGAGAAATGCAAACAATTAGTAAGCATACATGCGTAGATAGGAACGAATTTTGTGAAAATTTAAATCAAAATTTGAGAATGTTGGATGAGCTAAAGAAAAATTTTGATAACAGGGAAAGGAATAGGAAAGTACTACAAGTAGTAATACTCAGAAATACTATGCATAAAAACTAAGCCACGGGTAGACAAGTAACCTTCCAAATTATTCCTACTCCCTAAGTGAACTGCGGATGAATCACTGTCACAAACATTACAAAGTTTTTGTGATCATAAGAAAAGTGAACTTTTAGTGGGTTATCATCAATGTGATTACTACCTCATTCTTCATACAAGTGCATGAGAAACGCGTTTCTTACGAATGAAAAACATTCTAATTTATTGTTGAATTTTGATGCTTCTGTTTAAAAACTTTTTACTTCTTAGGATTGGAATCTGCTGTCGAAGTGAAACAGAAAAGTCATCAGCTGACAGAAGCATTAAGTGTGAAACTGAATAGCAGTGGTACTACTGATAATGTTATCAATGAGAATATTTGCTGTATGGCTAATCAATGTCAATCTAACGCCACGTGTTACTTCAACAAAACGATACAAAAATATTCTTGTAAATGTAAAGTTGGACAGAAGGACTGCATCAAGAAAATCAATAAAGCAATGCAGAATTATAACGGTATTTCAGATGATATTATTGAACCTTAAAATTCCGACCATTTTGAAGCTGGCTGACGACTGGATTAAACCTTTTCTCTTTTCTGAATTTCAGAATGAAGCACAAAATTCACTTTTGTCGTTTAATCCTTTTCCTATTAAGAAAGATAAATGTAAACTTGAAGAAAGACTTCCAGAATCAGATCCATGTTCGATGAGTCTATGTAAGAATGGCACAACATGTATTGCTAAAGTTAGAAAAGATATATTAACATATGAATGTCACAATGAATCAAGTTTGTTACTTTTTAATTTAAAAGGTAATGTCTGAAGTGTTCAATATTGCTGACATACTTCTCTATAATGCAATTTGTGCTCCTGCAATATATGAATCACATGCTTGAATAAGACAACAAATAGTTATTTAACATTTTTTGTGATTGTCCACTTAGATTTGCTTTTGTGTGGTCGATTTCTGTGTGAGTTTTTTTAATAATCAGAACTTTTTCGGCATATTCGATTTTTGCCAGGAAAGACAAGTAACTGATAAGTGACATCTCATGAAGAAGGGAACGTAGGCTTTTTTTCACTTCAGAAGAATTGAACTTAAAACTAGTAATTATCTGATTTAAATAAATTTAGTTATTAACAAAACGAAACCAATCAGATGTGATGAAAAAGTGGAATTAATATCCATTGATAAAGTTGAATGGATTAAACAGCTTAAAGAACTGAAAGAGCTGAAAATGAAGGAAATTAAGAAACAAAATCATGAATTAACCAGTGGAATTAGAAACGGTAAGTTGCATAAATGCTTATAAAGAGTTTCAACTTTAGTCCAACAATTCTACTGTTACCTTCAGCAAGTGAATGAATATTTTGGACTTTTCTAATAACTCACTGATGAACTTTTAATAATGAAATTGTCTACAAGATAAGCTTCCTATCAACTTTTTTGAAAAGTACTCGTTTAATTGTATTGATATATACTCTCCGTACTGCGTTGATTTGGTTATGTATCTAAGTCATACAATTTTCATGACCTGGTTGTTCGTCTTCCTATGTAACGTGGTGGTGACACACATATCCAATGGATGACATGACCTCATGCATGGCAAGAGTAATCAAAAAGTTTAGGATCAGATCAGCAAATGCTGCATGATAGTGATAATGAAGACAACATGACAGATGTCAACAACACAACAAATGAAACAATCCCCACAAAAAACAGTTTGGCAGCGATCAGTCTCAATGACACTGCTGCTGGAACCACAATCGACACCAACCATATCCAACTGTCAACAATTGGTCTTTTGACATCTTTGGTCTGGTTTCAATACCTTTATCAGATGGCCACATAATATTATACCTATTCCTATCTACCTAATCTATCTTATCTATTTATATATACGATTTATTCATAATCAAAAAATTAAATTTATTTTTTGACCAAAGTTATTTCCTAACTACTTGTTACTTTTTTGCACTATATCTCAGCTTTCCAGTTATTGAAATATAGGGGATTTATTTCATACATGAAATTTTCATATTATAAATACTAAGAATATCACTGCTTTCTATTCTAAGCTTCTTTCTTACACTTACTTTCAATAACCTCATTCTCACACTCTTCAAATGTTTTTATGACTCTATCTAATCAATTTCTGTAACTTTTGAATCGAACAATAAATATTTGATATTCCAACTTCCCTTCCTTGTAATAAATATCATACAATTATCAGCAATTAAAAAACATCTGCTTCGATGTATTTACAGGTAACTTCATTTGACTGTTTTTATATATGGCAAGGGGACACTACGCCTTTCCAAAGTCTTGCGGAAATATGAGAACAAACTGTGACAAATAAATACAAATCTCAGATATCATTATATATATCGCCAGCGTTAAAACACCTAGGTTTCCACTGCTTAGACACAAGCAATTCGCCGATGTGAAAACATAAATATACAAAGAATTCCCCCACTAGAAGACTGATTACTCAGCAATTCAAATCAGATGCTCAAAATGGTTTTGGAATTGCCAATGTGTAGAACCACTTGTTCATCACTAGAGAATTCTTTCAACAAATTTCCAACTTATCAAAATTTATATGCATACTGACAAGTTCGGTATCCTGAAATCTGGTAATTCTCTTTTTCGGTTCTTCGATTCCATAAATGATGCCTTTGTTAAGACTTTCTCACAAGCAAGACTGAAACTATTTTGAGAACTGAGAAACTGATACAAGCATTTAAATTCAAATCCCCAAGACTTCAGCATAAATTTCCCATGTCTTTCTAAAAGCTTTCGCAAGCATCAAGAAAAGTTCAAAACCACTTCCTCGAGTGTCACCAAACACAATAAAGAACCAAACATGAGTACAGAGGAAAGAAAAACGATTATAGAGGACTGCTAGTCTGTTCAAACAGAAGAGAATCACAAAACTTCCAATGAAGGGCTCCAGCGAAATCCTTTCATACTGTTTGACTTGATTGAAATTTTGAATGCAACCATCGAATCCATTTACTTGGCTCACCATTGGACAACTACATAAAATGTAAGTTCTTTCCCAAAGAAATATCTATACAGTTTTCGACAAAAACATTCTCTTACAGTAAGCAGTTTTTACAAAGATCAAATACCAGTATACCAATGCAGCCGACAATACATTTTAAGAAAATATTTTTCAAAAAAAAAATTTAAAATTTGAAAAAAGAATCCACATTTTCCGTTATGAATCTTAACAACTACGCTCAATGGATAATCTCCGTGTCTTAATTTATATTTCGCTGGAACAGTTTTATGTCGCATACTGATTAACCGAAGTTTGTACCTTAGGAAAAACTACCTAACATAATAGAACTGCTTTACTAAAAGAAATTTTTTAATGCTACTGCTCTAGAAGCTAGAAAAAGCAGTGTTTAGAAAGAAATTTGAAATATGGTTGCAGACAATACGCCAATAGCATTAGGAAAAACTACATAAATTTCTACTTCATTTAGACTTATGAAACAAGGTGAAATACAACCTAAAAATAGGAGCTTATTAAAATCAAACAAAGCAAAATTCCTCGAGTGATTTTTTTTTTTTTTTTTGGCAAACATCCTGATTAAAACTGATTTTATATTCAATTACATCTACTTTTCAAGCATATTCCTGAGTCATTGTTATTCAGATTATGAAGCTTTTAAAATCAAATACAAAAAATTCAAAATTTCTGATCCCGACAAACAACTCTGATCAAAGCCAACATTATAGGAATTTGGAACTCATACATTAAAAATACAAAGCTTGACTTCGACATTATCAGAAAAAACACGAAAACAATCACAAAATAAAAAGAGAATATATATTTCTGCTTAAAATTAAAATTACATTTAGTTCACTACGACTCCCCTACATTTGGTAAGACGTGATCAGCTAATTCCACTATCTGTTTCGGAAATTTCGGGGGCCCAATTAACCGTATAACGTCTTCGTAACTAAGCATTTCATTCTCCAGCAGTGAGGATGCCAGCTGCAATCAATTATTCTTCAAAAGTGTGGTGGAATTTACGTAAATCTATAAAACGTCAATAAGAAATGAACAGCAATAACAATTTTTACATCATTTTGTAAATAAAAAATAGATTTAATTAAAAATATTTAAATAAAATTCCAAAGATGTTCCAATTCAAGCAGTAGTTACACGACATGAGTATGCACACAAATGCAGTTGATAAAGAAAAATTTCGAAGATGTAGTTGTTAACCGACCACCATAATCTCTTCGATAAGAGATAAGGATAATATCGAAATATTCTTAAAATAATCAAATAAAATCTGATAAGATTAAAATAACCTATTAAAATACAATATAAAAAGCCTATACCTTTCTCAGTTTTTCTTCATTCGTCTTCAGGATGTTTTCCGCAGTGAAATATGCTTTTGAAACCAATTTAGACGCTTCCTAAGAACAATCAGTACGTGGGTTTAAATTTATTATAAATTGTTATAAATTAACTAAATACATTTTAAACAGAAAGACATATAAAATGTACTTAGTAAATAAACGTACCTGGTCAATCAAATGTTGCAATTTTATGCTGAAAGGTTTTTTGTAAATTCCAAATTCGTTTCGCTTGCTATCATCCATTATCGGGAAACTTAGGGGGCCTACGGATTCACTCATTCCATAGAGTTGGACTTGTGCATATGCTGACTTTGTCACCTGGAAAAACTAAAATAAACAAACAAATAAACGTGTTATGATTAATAACTTCCAAGCGGAAACCTCGCCAGAAACAGCACACATGAATTTCACCACACATTACACACCAAATTCATCTTTTGGAAACTTATTACTCGAAAATCAGTTTTTTTTTTTAAACAAAGTAAAACGTTTTTAACTGTAAATTTAATGCGATTTTAATTTTTAACAATCACCTTTTTCAAGTCATCTTCAGCACCCGTAGTAACACGTCCAAAAATGATGTTTTCTGCCGCCCGGCCTCCAAGCAACATACACATACGATCAAACATCTACAATAAAAATACATAGTCCGTGAAAGTCAATGTTCTTACTGACACCGCAATCGAATTAATGAGCTCTTGTCGAGGTTATTAATTATATATAGACATGGATAGACAAGTACGAAATAATAAAATACCTCATCCTTAGTTAATATTTTCCGCTCTCGAGGACTGAACTGAGCAAAACCAAGCTTAACACTTGTTCGTGGGATAATGCTAACCTGAAATGAAAACAAATGAAAGTAGATAGAGAATTATTATTGGTCTAAAATCCAAAAAAGAAAAACTCGCTATAATCAAATTTAACATCACCGCAGCACATGCAGATACTACCAACCACTAGGTGAATATACAATCCAAATACAGCCATACAACGCGAAATGGTTACAGTAATTAATAATACATAAGAACGAATCATTCAAGCCTAGGATCTGTAGCCAAATTAAAAAATAAAAACCCTTAGTAAGGCATCAGTGTGTTCCAGCAACCATCCAATCAGAGCATGACCAGATTCATGATATGCTACGATTTCACGTTCTTCTTCTACCATTGATCGACTCCTTTTTTCTGCGCCTAGAATAAGACCACCTATTAGTTAACTACTACAGCACTGAAACAACCATTAATCACAACAAAACGTTATCTCGAATATTTATAAATTTCGGAATTTCGGTGAACCTTGAGCTTACATATCCCCTTAGATTTATCTCAAATGGGAAACCTGCAAGAATTCTCTGCAATGATTCATCTAAATCATCTATTGTCACCAGACTTTTCTTTGATGACGCCGCCCGAATAGCTGCTTCATTTACCACATTTGCGATATCTGCTCCTAAAATATAGCTACTAACCTATTAAAAGTTCATATATATATAACGGAACGTTGTTTTCAATAAAAATCGTTACTTTATTTTACGAGTAAATGTGCAGTATGCTTCAGAACATTAGAAAAACTTGTTTTAAGTTACGGCATCAGTTCTCAACATGGAAGAAATCTTATATTAACGTCTCATTTTACGCTAGACCGGATAAATTGGCAAGTTAGAAGGCTGTTCAAGCACTGAAAATAAAACAAAACTACAAAAAACATAAAACAGGTACGCAATTTTCATTAAATTAAGAGTCCATAAACTTTTTTGACCCGAAAATCGTGATGTTCTTTGAGCAAGCCTCTTGGAATAATATTGTGGTTCACGATCCAATTTAATTCTGCTTAAATATAATTCGAATATTTCCTGCCTTTCCAAAGCGGTTGGAAGATCGATAACGATGTGTCGATCAAACCGACCAGGGCGTAGAAGAGCCTACAAAATACATTTCATTATAAATTAAGCGGAATTACAATAATCGAATCTATTTTATAAACTCTTTTCAGCACAAATCAAATACTGTGCAATTAAATTGGATCTAGAAAAACCACTTTGAGTACTTGTTTACACCAACTTTTACCAAATATATAGATATTTTTATAATGAGCATCGAAAACTAAACCTTATCCAGTATATCGCCACGATTTGTTGAACCAAGTAAAACAATACCGCGACCACTATCAATACCATCCATCTCTACCAGCAACTGATTTAAGGTCTGCTCCTCTTCTCGATTTCCACCACCCGCTTCGCTGAAATTGTTGGCAAGGCAGAAATATTAAATGACATTTAATTAAAGTTACCTTTGACTTCTTTTGCGTCCTATCGCATCTATCTCATCGATATAGATGATGCAAGGTGCCATTTTCTTTGCTGTTTTGAACAAATTCCTGATCCTAGATGCTCCCAAACCTGAATGACATTTAAAATGACTGTTAAACGATTGTACTCTTCGCTCTAGGAGTAATCACTGACTCATA